GAGCAGGGAGCCCGATGCGGGGCTCGATCCCAGGACCCTGGGATCACGACCTGAGCGGAAGGCAGACGCTTAACGACTGAGCCACCCAGGCGCCCCTCAAATGTTATTTTTATGTATGCTTAACTTAATAAAGTGAAACCTCAAGCCACAGCATAATGGAACTTATATTTTAAAGTAGCCTTTTTTGCAGATAAGATTCTCTGTTTTAGGGTAGTTTGAAGCTTTTGAACACAAGGTGGCGCAGTATATTCAAAGATGAGAAGTTATTCTAATACTGTAAGGTGGTTGGGTAAATAGAAAAGCTCAGGCTAATGTTTGCTCTTTGCTCACATTACAGTCAGTTTAAAAATTGATTTGGAAGAATCTGCTAGTCTTTTTTTTTTTTTAACCTAAGCCAGTGTAAATTAGTTATTTATGTATAGCTTTTGTTTGAAATTGTTCATGAAATATTCTAGACACACAAAAAGGTATAAAGAATAATGTATCTACCAGTATTTATGGTACTAGGTTCTCCATCCCAATTGCTTTGTCTAGCATTGTTAGCCCCTCTCTCCTTCCCTACTAACCTTAATTTGGGTGTTTACATTATTTCTATTTCTTATGTATAGTTTTAACAACACATATGTCTAAACTATTAATAAAGAATTTTATTTTTCATGTTTATACTTAATATAAATGGTATCATATTAAACACATATTTCTGTAGCTTGCTGTTTTTACTTGTCATTGTTTGAGATTCATCCACATTGACCCATGTAGTTGTGTTTATTTTCTCAGTTGTGTTGTATTCCATGGTATGGCTTTATCCATTTACCAGTCAATGAACGTTTTTGCTACATTTTGTATATATTTGGAAGTTTCTCTCTATATGTTCCTAGAAGTGGACTTGCTGACTTGTAAGATGCAGATGTTGAACATTAGATGATAATGCAAATTTTTTTCCAAGGTGGTATATCCATTTCCATGCTCTCCAGTGATGTATAAGTTCTCATTGCTTCACATCACCTCATCACTTGGTACAACTGGAGTTTTAAGATTTGCAAATTTGATGAATTTTAAATGCTATATCGCGATAATTTTAATTTATAACTTCATGGGAGCTTTACAAATATATTCTTGTCTTAAGCTCTTTCTTGCTCTATTATTTATTAATATCTTCTGCCAATTTGTGGCTTAACGACTTAATTTTTAGAAATGGTAAGATAAATTTATATTTATCTTCTGAGGAAATTTTACATTTCAGGTAATTAATGCAGTAAAATTTGTTAGTTTCTTTTATGGTTTATACATTTTGTATCTTGTCTAACAACTCTTTATTCACAAGGATTGTAATTATATAATTATATAAATTATAAATTGACTAGAAGGAATAAAGAATAGAAATGATAAATTTGATATATCTTTAAATGTTTTATTGACTATCATAGTTATTTCTCTGAAATACTTTGCCATTCTTTTGGAGTATATCGTCATTAGTATATAAAATATACTAAATATATTTTTTAGGTGTTTGAATAACTTTCAGTTATTTCAAAGTACTTAAGAGTTATTTATTCCTCTTTCTCCTTAATGAGAGAAATGTACGTTACTATTATAAGGATTTACAAAGGTAGTTTTTAGATTAGAAAATACCACTCGACTAATTTATGTTTGAGAATCATCTAGTGCTAAATAAGACAAAGACTTGATTTTATAAAATGGCTTTTAATCACTCCATTTTTGAGCTTACCAGTTTAGTCTAAGGCTGGGTTCAGCCAAATATGGCCTGAGAGTCAAATCTAGCCTGATGTGTTTTTATATAAACGAAGTTTTATTGAGACACAGTCACTTCCATTCATTTATATATTTTTGTCTGGCTGCTTTCATGCCACAAGTATTCAGTGTTTGCAAGAGAGACTGTATGGCTCCCAAGCCTAAGGTATTTACTATTTGGTACTTTACAGAAACTGTTTGCCATCTCTTGTATAACTTAATTTAGTTTGTGCTGATGCCCAGATCTTTTGATTTTTATTATAGAAGGCTGCTGCAATCTGGACTAATTTTCTGCTAGTATTGTTTACCTCTTTACAAAAGATCGTGAGGAAAACAGGATTGGGTCTTATATTACATTTGGATTGGATTTCAGATCTATGTGGGGGAATTCTAGGTTAGCAGAGTGCCAGTATAAATTAGATTTTTCAGATTTTCAAAATGGTGTATGTTAATTCCGTGCTTTTGTATGCACTTCTGCTTGTTCCAAGTCCTTAAGGATGGCTAGAGGAATATAACCTTTAGAGCAGTAATATTATAAAAGTACAGCCTGAAGACATCAGGAGCCTGGGAGACCTTTTTAGGAAGGTATGAGGTCCTTCTTTCCCAGTTACGTATCTATTTGAAAGTGGATTTTTTCATATACATAAACCAAAACAGTATATAATACAACAGATTGAATATAAAAGCAGATATTAGAATGCAACTATCTCCTATTAAGCTAGAATTTAAAGAGATGTGCAAAAATGTGAAATCCTAGCACTCTTCTCAGTATGATTATTTTTTGTTTTGAAAAAGTCATTTTTAAAGAAGTGTTTATATTAATATACAATGGCTTTATTGTTATTTTGAAATGAATTAATATTTATAAAATTTCTTATTCTTAATTTCTAAAATGATAAGTAGTAATAGATATAACTCATAAATAAAAAGTTTTGGGGAGCCTCAGTACTTTTTAAGAGTATAAAGCATCTTGAGACAAAACATCTTGAGAACTGCTGAAGTCATAGGGTATTTAGGGCCATTAGTCTAGTCTCTTGAGGTTGGACTAGGACGTACCTCAGGTATCTTTGAACTTTTGAGCATTTATATCCAGTTACCAGTCCATTTGTATAAGCAATAAAGAGAATATGGGCTTTGGACACAGGGTAGTTCTGCGTTTGAATTCTGGTTTATAGTAATTTTTAGTTGTATAAACTTAGGTAAGTTTCTAAACTTTTTTTTTTTAAAGATTTTATTTATTTGAGAGAGAGAGAATGAGATAGAGAGAGAGAGCATGAGAGGGGCAGGGTCAGAGGGAGAAGCAGACTCCCTGCTGAGCAGGGAGCCCGATGCGGGACTCGATCCCGGTACTCCAGGATCATGACCTGAGCCGAAGGCAGTTGCTTAACCAGCTGAGCCACCCAGGCGCCCCAGTTTCTAAACTTTTCTTAACTATCGGTGTCTAATATTAGAAATTGTCAATGAGGATATATATGTGAAATTAATGAAAGAAATCACAGAAAATAGAATTAAATGTTTAGTGACTATTTTCCTTTGTTAAAGCTCTATCATTCTTCCTGGTTATCTCTTTGTTTTCATTCTCATTGTCAGCATACTAGTTCAGGGCCCAAGTCACTTCATGTTTGATATAAATTCAACTTTTAAAATGAGGAATTACTTATATCCCCAGTAATTTGTATAGCGTATATGCTTCGAAGTGTTACAATGGAAGAATTGTGACTACCCAGCTTAACATGCTGTGTGGTTTTCCCTATCCAATCCCCACCCCAAACCTAATCACCATTTTGAATTTTATCATTTCCTTCTTAAAAAAGTTAAAAAAATATATTCCTAAATGGTATATTATTAGATTTCCCTATTTTTATATTTTATGAAAATGACATCGTACTGTGTGAATGCTTTTGTTACTTTTTTCTCTGTCAAACCTTTTATTTTTAAGTTTTTTTTTATTGTTACATATAGCTTTGGTTCATTTGTTTACCATGCTGTGAAAAACTGAGGTGCTCAAAGGCAGTGGTTTTACTAGAGTTATCAGTTTCATACTCCTTATAACTGTGGCTCACATAAGAAATTTATAGTGACCACATAATGTATGTAGACACACGCACACAAACCCTTTTCCTCTCATACACCTGTTTCAGGCGATAGTATTTGCCCTTACTAAACTTTGGTTTATAGGGATGCATTCTTATGTTTTCTTTTATGTTTAAAAATGCTGATGAAGCCCCGGCAAGTTGATTCTGTGATCTGCCAGCTGAATTATCTTCAATTTGAAAAGAGCACTGCTCTAGGAAATATAAGTAGGAGTAGAATTGCTAGATCCTAAGTAATGTTCCATCCTCTAATCCATGACACTTCAGATTTCTTATTTTTGCGAGGTTTTGTCTTCTGCCTACGTTAAAGTTCCCCCCTCAGTGATTTGGTATGTAGTTTTTTATATATGCCTAGATCACTTTGACTCTGCATATTTCTAATGGTCAGTAGCCTTAGGTATTATTTTCCTCTAGATATATTAAGCTAAAAATAACTTATGTTACTCCCTCCATAAACACTTTGTTCAAATTTTCATAAAAAGGGAACTAAGGTAAGTTTCTTTTTTAACAAAATAGTTTTTTCTACCTAATCTTTCGTTTTCCCTTAAAAAAAGGATTTCCTACCTTACCTTCCACTGTTTCACTTGCAAAAATCTCTGCTCTTTGTTGGTTCTAGTCTTTTTAAAGTATATCATTCTTTGTTAAATCTTCATTTTTGTTTATTCATGGCATGGACTTTGTGTTCCTTTGCACTTAACCAAATCCTTTATATTTTTCAGGATTTAGCTAGCTAAATCACTTATATGACAGTTTTTCATACAGTATGTATGAATGAATTCACAGCACTTAA